GATTTATCTGGATAATGTAATCGTTTTTGACTGAACTTTAAAAAGAGCATTTGGGTAGCTTGTGCTGTCGCAGTTCCGGGAGGTAAATTTATAACTGAAGCCCACAAACTTCCATCTGCTGCAGTCCTCAGTGCGTTATCTGCGGCACTGTGGTCTCTGATATAGGGGGTAGCCATAGGGGTTGGCCATGTACGAACGTGGCCGACCCCTACGGAGTTGTCCAAGGTCTGCGGATTTTGGGTTTTTTTGTTTTTTTATGACCGCTGATTTATTAAAAAAGTTGTGTCCATTGCTAACCATTACATCTTCTACAGCACATGGGGGGGGGGGGGGGTGGGGATAATCATAGATTCTACTGAGGTCCGCAGAAGAAGCTGTTTTCCTGCAGCTGCATTCGCGATCTCATAGACACTCCACCCCTGGCACACCCTGAATTCAAGTTGCCCTTTACGCTCGATACAGCTGCTAGCGACATGTGAATTGGAGGCGCGCTATCATAAGATCAGTAGGGATGAGAGGTGGGCATCGCCTATGGCAGTCGTGTGCTGTTCTCGACAGAACAGCGCTCCTGTATGACCCATAGAGAGCTATTGGCCGCAGTTCACTTTGTGCAACAGTTTGGGTCCTATCTGTATTGACGGCAATTCACAATGCGCACAGACCACGCTGCCTTGCAGTGCTCACTCCGTATCGACCAGCCGTCAGGCGAGCTGGCCAGATGGATGGAGCGATAGCAGGAATACTTGTACCAAGTTGTGCAAAGCAAAGGGCTTGCAGCATGCAAATGCCGATGCGTTGTTAAGACTGCCACCATTGCTTCCTTGCGTGTGCATTGTGGGCGTGGCTCCTTGCAGACCTGCAGACTCTGACGAGCAGGTGGCGGTTGCTTCAGCCGATGACCCTTTTGGGTGTGCCCAAGGACCCGATTACTGACTACCGCTTGTGGCGGAACCTCGCCGACTGGCAGCGAAAGCAGGCTGAAGACGTGTCCTTATGGCCTCCTATTTGTGACCTCATCAGATTGAGGAGGCGTGGGTCAGCTGGCCACACAGTTCCGGCTGTGTGGAATGAAAGGGTCTCCTCGTGCGCTGGGATGGGGCCGCCCAGCGTCGTCAACCGGTAGCTCCGACACACCTGCTACGTCAGGTGGTTGTGGACACCCAGCTCCTCCACCCTGCTGGTTGGAATCCCCTGCCAACCCTGTGGGCTCGATATCTTTGGCCTGACACGACGCCCGATGTAGATCGATGGGTGGCTTCCTGCCAGGAGCGCACACGCAGGGAGCCACCACCGTACACACCCCAGGCAGCCCTTGCAATCCATCATTGGTGTCCAGGGTCAATGAATTGGACGCGTTGGACATGCTAGGGCCATCCTCAAAAAGACACCCAGGGGAAATAATGTTTTACTTGCAAAGGGTTGAGTACTGCACCTACTGGCGGATGGCATGGCAAGACAGCTGATTCCATCGCTGACGCTTTTATTAATGGCTATGTGCTCGGCAAAGGTCCTCCAGAGTGTTGGTTAACGGACCAAGGTAGACATTTCTCATCCCAAACTGCTTAAAGATGTCCGCAATATTACGGAGACTAAGAAAGTGCACACATTTCCCGACCACGCTCAGGCTGACGGGATGGTGGAGCGGCAGCTGCCATGGCAGTAGCGTCCAGGGAGACCTCTGTCGAAGGGAGCCAGATATCATTGTCCTGTGTGTCGAGTCCATGAGTTCAACAGCCTATGGGGTGGCCTTCAGCTATTCCACACCACGTGTATTCATGAGTGCACCTATTCTGGGTGTCCCAGAAATGTACTCATGCCACAATTTTCGTGGCGTTGTATTATTGTCATGTAGTGTTTTGTTGATGTTCTCTTTTCATGTTTTTGCCACTATTGATGTCACAACCGCCATCGAGTTGCATCCTAGTTGTGTGGGGTTTCACTTCTACAGCATACATCGATTAAGCCGAGGATGGATACTCCTAAAAAAAAGGGAGGGGAAGGGTGATGTGAGGGATACCGTGATGCACTCCCCACTAATTAAAAATAAACCGGCCGGCCGGCCAAAATAGGAGTTTCCGAATACGGGAAACTCTAGGAAAATCAGGGTGCGTGGCTGGGAGCATGTAAGGACGAGAGCCCTGATTGGCCGCTTTAACAGCCACTCTGGGAAGCGTGAGAAAGAGAACAGGGCCAGGCGACGAGCTTGGTAATTCTAAGGGAAATGAGCGGGAAAAGAAATTATGAGAGATAGTTAAAGGTGGATAAAGAGGTGAAGAGAAGAATGGTAAAAGAGAGAACGTGGGCAGAGGTGAAGGGAGATTGTAGAAGGTTCGGGAGGATACGAGATATTAGGGTGCGTGATGTAAACACGGGGCTGTTACTGGGATTGCAAAAGGGGAGATGTGCGGTGGAATGGAGTGTGGAAGAGTGCACATTTGGGGTGAAGACTCCTCAAAGATAAGACGTGTGGACCTCCTTTAAACAGTTTTGCAAGGTCAGGCGAGATGAGGTCATGCCAACCCTTTCGGGCATTGCACAGGGGGCAGGGCAATCTCGTGAAGGGCACTTTAAAAGTGGCACTTAAAATATAACGGGACTACAATTAAATTACCAAATTGAAATTCACTCTTTCAAAAAACCCTATACAAATGAGTAAAATTATCTAAAAGCTGCCTTAAATACGTAATTATACAGCGGACAGAGCAGACGACAGATTTGGCGACACGTCTAAGCGGCGAGGCCACATCACCCGCTCACTTGCTGCCCAAGAGACCCATGTTAATATCAGACAACTCCTTGCGTTCTAGTCTATGGTGCCTCCAGCGCAGGCTAAGTGGGAACTTGCCCTCTGATTCACTTGGCCACAGCAGCAAATAAATAAATAGATATGCCACAAACGTCCCCGCTGCATTATTGGGTAAATGTTCTTCCGGAGTGCCCAAACCTTCACTAGCTTTATTATTATTGGCTGACACACTTAGCACCTCATCGTCAATGTGTCTCCATGCTCAACCAAGAATTGGGCAGTAGCCATTTTGCAGAATTGTCGCCTCTCCCCCCATTCGTCTCTTGCAAATGGGGCAAGAAGGGGCTTTAGCTTGGGCCCAAGACAGACATTAGAGAGAGGCATGGAGAGAAAGAAACAGAGCGAGAGACATGTAAATACAGACACATCGAGAGAGACAAACACATAGAGAGATACATATGAAGCCAAAGTGATATGAGAGAGATGCATGGTAGAGACATCAACATTGAGAAAAACACAGTGAGGGATATTGACAGCCATGAAGAGAGCTATAGAAAATGGACATATACACAACATAGATAATACAAAGATACATGGAGACATATACAAAGGCAGAGGGAAAGATATCAAGACATAAATATAAAAACAGACATGTAGAGAGACACATGGAGAAAAAAAATAGAGAAAACCCACTGAGACACAGACCACGACAGGCATAGAGAGAGGCATGCATAAGTACAGAAATCCAACAAAATTACAGCGAGACATAGAGAGACACACACAGAGAAATACACGAGAGATGCATGACGAGAAGCATGTAGAGAAAGACAATGACAGAAACAGACATACACATGGAAAGGGGTGCACACAAAATAGATTGCTACAGACGTGGAGACAGACAGTGAGAAACATTGAGAATTTTAAACACCCTTAAAAAAGTGTGGGCCTTGCGAACGTCTACTTATTTAATTATAAGACGGCACTGAATGCAGTATTTCACTGGCAACACTGAGCCGGTGGTAAACATTCCACTTTCCTCAGGTGGAGGCCAGTATCTCCAATGAACGATTATTTATGTTTCACAAAATTATGTTCATTTTATTGATAACTCAGGGATGATGGGCCAAGTCAAACCATGAGCAGTTTTAATCTTGTGACTCTCAGAATCTGGGTTGAGGGTTCCATCATCAGCACCACTTGGCCGGGCTCATTGATTCCTATACTACCTACGCCTTTGGTAAAATAAACACAAAAATCAACATTGTGCTTCAAATTTATCATGCTCATATTATATTCGAAGAAAGGTTTGCTGGCTGGATTACTGCCTGGCTGGTGCATGTATGGCTCGCTGGCTGTCTGTCTGGCGGGAGGGTCACAGCCAAAGGAAGTGGCAGGCGAACAGTTTTTATGGCATGAGAGCAAGGTGGCTGGTGGCCGATGGGATTAAGCCTAGAGCAAGGAGAGGATGATGATATGTGGATCATCCTTGCTGCTTTATCACCCTTGGTATGTATGTATGTTCAACTTTTTTTGCACTGCACTTAGCCAACCGTGGTAATCGGAGGTGCGGGGGAAGGACAGCATTCCGTTGCTCCAAAACAGGCTACACGAGACCGTAAAATGCATTTCAAATTAAGGAAGGAACTAAAATAATAATTTGCTGGAATAGTTCTAGGGTGAAGGTGCAGCCCTGCAATTGCCTTTTCACGCCACTGCTGCAGGAAGGGGGTCCACTCGAAGGAGCTCTCTGGAGTGCTCTTTCGTGGGTGTTTGACTGAGTCTTTAATTTTAAGTTTAACACGTAGGCATTCGCGACCAATATTATCTATAATAGAGGTTTATTTGGATAGGATCACATAAATGTATCGTTAAATCCACCACTACCCGACACAGCCAATTATGGTTAATTTTTATTTGCTGGTCAAATATCTATGGAAGGGTCGGAGGACCCACAATTTTCCACACCCTACAAGCGACTTGCCAATTGACTATTTATGCGTGTACATTCAGCTTCGTTTTGTCAACGATTTATACTGCTGGATGGACAAAGGCCAGAGGATGAAGGAAACCTGGCCATCTGTTTCAACCGCCACGCTGAGAGATCAAACAGCGAGACTTCTGGATTGTAAATTTGCAGCACTGCTATCCAAAACGCCACGGCAGAAAGTGTAGCAACGTATTACGGTAAAATCTATTAAATTCCCGTCTCTGGACATGGTGCAGCATCTGAGTTGTTGCAGGGAGATGTACTTACCAACGCATCTTCCATTATCATTCAGGGTGAATCCTTCTCCACACTGTGGGGAGAGGGAAAAAAAACGATGTGTAGTTGACTCCATGTCACTGCATTTAAAATTGCTATGGTTATCTTTCTTTCAGTCAAGACCATTTATTTTCATTGATACTATAATACAGCATGTCAGATATAGTATTTGTAACAAAGGAATAACATTTACTTGGCTGAATGTGATAGGTCAAGCCAGCTTAGATAACAAAAGTATCAAAGAATGAAGAAGCCCGATGTGTTTGTTCCTTACAGTTTGGTTAGAGGGCAAAAATTGTGTTCATTATAAAGCAATTGCACTTCTCAGCAGCATTTCAGTAAAATAATATGATTTCATTTTTGGAATTTGTGCTGCTCTTGTGCACATAAGGAATGGTGGTGAATGCCTTTAATCACTCATCGTACCAGGCAACCGCAGAGGCATTCAGCCCACTCGCCTTACTCGGTTATTGTTGAAACTATTTTATGTGTCGGTTAGATATATTGGTAATTTCTCATTGGCCACACACATTCCTTAACGGATAAGCATAGGCAGCTTTAAATCAAAAGGGGACTCACCAGACAAATACAAACATTGCATAAAAAAACCTCAGGCTTGTGTAGGTGTCAGTGAAAGTAACCATTCTTCTTATAAAATTACAATTTCGCTGTTGAAATATTTATACAATTCTTAAAAGTGCTGACGCTGTCTCCTACTGATCTTTTCAAAATGAGATGTCATATCCCATGGGGCTCTTCTCTCCTCATTAATATTTTAAAAACAAATAATAAATCAATACGTAAAGATGACATCATGTGTATCTTGTGCCTAAAAGTGTGATCACCCCCCCCTCCTCTGCAATTGTTTTATATGCAGTGTTCAGCCGTAACGCACTGTGTTTTATGTAACCGCACGATAAAGGGGATTATATTTGGCACTCAGATGGCCACAAGAGTTTTCAGCAAAGTGAAGAAAGATTACCCACAGTCTGCATTGCAGATGCCTCGTGTACTTCAGCGGACTTGTTTTTAATTTACAGCGAGACGGTTTAAAGTCTATCACACTCCAATGTGCAGTTGAACATTGCAAAGCCATCACCGAGCGGTGTCCATCGCTGGTGCATCGTAACATTCTTGATATTTTTTTTCATTTGAATGGGGGCATTAAATTATTGAGTTCAATGACCTTTCAATTTTATAGCCAAAAAAATTCAGTATCCCGGCTGAAAGACTGGGAAGTGCCTATGTGTCCTGAGCTAGTAGTGGACATTCTACATTGCCATGGCGGGAGCCAGTCTTGCCAACAGCATGGCGACTGCTGGCTTCCCACAGAGTGGTACTTCAGAAATTTTGTCCATTGCAGATTGACGAAAGTCTTCCCGGAACAGAATGTGAACTATACATGTTTAAGTTTAATAACCCTATCTAAATATTCTTCAGATTAAACATTTACCCATTGCATACTTACTTTTCAATTTTGATTTAGCAACTCCCACGACTGTTTTTTAACCACAGCCGCTTTATGCCAGTGTTCTTCACTGCAAGGCCCGCGGGCCACTGACGGTCCCTGGTAGCCTTTGGTGCGGCCCCTGAAATGCGGCCCCCGACAATACACAAATGTGAATTAATTTATCTTGCAGGCGGTGTGGCGGCCCTCACACTGATGTCTTATCAGCGAAAGTGGGCCCCCTCTGAATATTTGTGAAGAACACTGGCTTAGGGTCTTGTCCACTCTGTGTTTGTTTCGCTTTCATCTTCTTCAGTGAGGTTAGTGAGGGCTGCCCCCAATGCCAAGGTGACATTTCTCGGTGATCAGATGAAGGAATTTTAAGGTTGTTCTTAGGGTGGCATAGTAATAATGAACATCATGATTCAAGAAGACATGCTTCACAGCATGGGGATTTCACGGTGGCTCTGATGTCAGTCATGATTACACCTTCTTTTCCATCACTGGCTCCCACAATTAACTGAGCTGCCACTTCCTGACAGCCCGGTGGGTTTTCGAGCTTCACCAATCTACGTGATGTATGCAGGTATGTTGAACTTCTTTTGCACCATATGTTGCCAACTGTACTAATCGGAGGTGCGGGCATGCACCAACTGCCTTGCCTCCAATGCACTGCATTACAACACTTGGATACTCAACATGATCCTATCACGTGTTCAAATACCTACTTTAACATAGGTCCATCCGATCATTAAGGCACCAACTACTTAGTAGCTCACAACCTACTTGGCTCAACCCTTCACCATCTTGCCATTTGCTTCATTTCCTGTCAAGGTTTTTGCACCTATTCTTTGCACCCTGTGCCTTTGAACAAATATCCATTGTGGCATATCACCCACCCAACTTCCGTCCAATTTGTTACCCATTGCGACCTTACTGCTTACTCAGCCACTCATGTGCTGCTATCTGCCGAGTCCGGTCCAATGCCTGGCCACTCGATACACCAGCGGGAGCAACACAACTTCCCGCTTGACTGCCAATTGTGGGCCTATGGCCCAGTATATTTCGGGTTGTTTCCCCCTGCTGTATACAATGAAATCACATTTTTAGATCATCACATGCAAAACAATACATTGAAAATCTACTCACAGAGCCATACCACAAACATAAATGTTCAGTTAAAATATAACATTTTTTGCCGCACTCGAAATTTCCATTTCCATTACTTAAATTTAATAAGTGTTTAACTTTTAAACAAATGCAGTTCTGGAACAAACAAAAAAGATATAATATTTTTGGACACACGTATTAAATTGCAAAGGGGTGGTGGAGCAGTGGTTTAGCACAACACAATGTGAACACAACGACCTCGGTTGGATTTCTGGCCAGGGCCAACACCAACGTTGGTTGAAAGCTGATATTTGAACCTGTCCTGGGCACCCCCCTCGACCAACCCTTCACACAACCTACACTGACCAGTGTGGTGAAGTATGAACAGACAATCGACGTTTTGACGTGACATAAAAAGCCCTTCATTCAAATTTGAAAAAAATACTTGGAAATTACCTTATGGTGTGAAGCTACATGTAGCAACATCACCCACTACTGTAAAACTACTCCATACTTTGCTAGTGTACCACAATGCTTTGTTGATTATATCCTTGCACTATAAGAATGGTAACAATACCAAATGTGGCAATTAATTTATTTAGCATTTCTGCTCAGCTTACGATAGCTGCTTGATTCAATGTGTGCGCAAGGGAAGGGGGGCACCAATGGTGACCAGACAAACGGTGACCACCTTTCACATACAATGACACCTAAGGTGTTATCATACTTGGCACAATAAACCCCAGTTGCATTCCACAAAGAGAAGTGTAAATAATCTCTAGAAATATAGACAGTTAATAAAATCATCCTTTAACAGCTGCTAGGATTATTTTCACCAGTGGGAGTTTGGTCACCTCGCTGTGAATGCTGGCAAAACCAACCTGATAGGAATACATTCCTCACGTTCAGTCTCAGGTGGGTGACATGACGCGACAGTGTTCCTGTTGTCTGCATGTTTGACGTGTGTATTTATTTCTAAGTAAAAATTTCAAATAACGTAAATGTTTTTAAGTCTTTACCGAACACTACGCAACGTCACTTGCAACTGATTTTGCATCATATATGCAACATCGGTTGCAGCATCAGTTGCATAGTTTTGCAGATTGGAAAAAAAAGGTATAACCATGAGCATGTTGGTTTTGAAACTCAGATGTAAAAATTTAATGAACACTCACAATTATATTAATATATGCACAGACCCAACGTACCAGGTACATCATTGATAATGCTTGGAAACATTAATTTTTGAAAAGGCTTGTATACCAATGAGCGTCATTTTGGTGCCTATCACTTGTCCACGAATCAATATCAGTTTGCGCCATGTGATTGCTATTATGAATAAAACATGATCATCAATATATATTTAATTTATCATATTTGAAAAATAAGTTTTGCGCACACAACAGCGTTAATACACCGCACGTGTGTGCATGCACCCTGGCGCTTGGCTTCATGTGGACACAGAAGCCTCTGCAGATTAGTTCAAAGCTACTAACATAGGCAAACAATTTACGTTTGTGTGGATACCCTAATCCAGCCCTAGTGTGGTGATATAGTGGTGTCCTGGAGCAGTATCGAACGTTAGTTTATGTATGAACTGTGGTGAGAATGCATGTGAAAATTTATCTTTATGAATCCCATGAATAAAAGCAAAGAGTGTTTTATATGCATATATGAAACAAATCCTCGTAGTGCTCTTGTCACTGAGCTTAAATGTAACCATCTGCTAGACTCTGTGGGAATCACAGGAGTGCATTGTGTGCTATAAAAGCAACAGTTTGCCATTCTGTATTATTGTCGTAGGCAGGAGGCAACATTTTACTATTACCTGCGACTAAAAATATCCTGGCTACGTTTAGTTGCCTGGGTGTCTTTGAAAAAAATATAGATTTCATAATTAAATTTGTATCTGATTCCGAACTATGGCGTGTTGGGTGCTCACATTCAAGTTCCAAAACGTTCTGGTTGAAGTGAAAAGACACAATACGGACATTATTGTACTTGTATTACAAGATTTTGTTATGCCTTTATAGTGTTTCAAAAAGTGTAAAAACACATCTCTTGAATTGAAACCAGCGTGCACCAACCCACTGAGCTATTGTAAACATAAAGGCTATAGTTGAGGCATAACAGAGGGTTTGGTCTCTATTGAGCTATGTTTAGCTTTTCACAAGAACGTTAACCATAAAACCCAACATTCCATCGCAAATTGCCCCACTCCACAAATATTTCAGAATAAAACAATCACTGCTCGACTGCATTGGTTTTGCTGGACAGACAATGCAAGTATTCCATGCCGCTAAATAATTTAAAGCGGGCTACGTCAACATCTATGATTTATTTTATTTGTTTAGCGGCCACAAATGAAGCATCTGTGCCATAGCATGGCTCCCGATATGAGTAATTGGATTTACAATCCACGGAGGAGTGTCCTTAACCAGGAGTGCGGTGAATGTAATAAAAACTAAAAATGGTTA